GAGCCTTTGAGCCTTTCTCATTGCCCAGATATACTACTTTCTTACTCCGATCATACAATTTCTTGAGGTGATTCTTTGCTATTTTCATATGAGCAACACAGCCAAAGACTCTCAGGTGACCTACTTGTGGCTTTCTTCTGGTCCACAGTTCATACAGTGTAGTCCCATCTAGAGCCTTGGTGCTTAGGCGGTTTAATACATACACCGCGTGACTCACCGCCTCGCCCCATAATACATCAGGTACCGCCATTGCCTTTAGACAACTCCTGGCCATCTCTAGCACCGTCCGGTTTCTCCTCTCTACTACCCCATTTTGTTATGGGGAGTAGGGTGCAGTGTATTGGCGTTCCAATCCAGCTTCATTGCAGTACTCCACAAACTCCTTCGACAGGAACTCACCTCCACGGTCTGTTCTTAACACTTTTAGTTTTTCCCCGGTTTCTTTCTCCACTTTGCTTCGGAAATTCTTGAATGTACGAAAGGCTTCATCTTTTGTCTTTATTAAGAACACCCACATCACCCTGCTGTAATCATCAACTAACAACATAAAATATTTGTTGCCTGCATGTGTTGGAGGTGAGACTGGTCCACAGAGGTCGCCATGGACTAGTTCCAATTTCTTCTTAACCCTGAAATTTGTGCTTGCTGGGAATGTATTTCTTGATTGATTTCCAGCCAGGCAGCCTTCACACAGTTTGGATGGTATGACCATCTTTGGTATTCCTTCAATTATTCCCTTATCTGACATGGACTTCAAAGCAGTGAAGTTTACGTGACCTAGCCTTGTATGCCAAAGCCAGGTTGGGTCATCAATTTTGACAGCTAGGCACTTTGAACTGACTTCTCTTAGCTCTATCTTGTAGAGACGATTTGGTGACCTTTGTACCTTCATAAGCAGCCTCATTTTTGAGTCATAGATCCTCAGAAAGTTTTGCTTGATTCTAATCTCATCCCCTCCTTCTGAGAGTTGGCCAAGACTTATAATATTGCTGCACAATTCTTGTATATAATATACTTCTCTTAATTTTCTTTGCTCACCATTTTTACACTGAAAAATTATCATCCCTTTTCCTTTAATTCTCACTTTTGAATTAATTGTTGCCAAACTTCACAGAGCCCTGGACTGTGGTGTCTAGTTCCTGAAACTTTCCTCTATCTCCAGTCATATGGTTGCTGGCCCCTGTGTCTAGATACCACATATTTGAGTCACATGCAACATCCCCATTTGATCCCAGCTTCAGTTTGACCTTCTCTTCATTCAAGATTACTTCCCTTGTCTCTTCTTTAGCTTCAAGGGATGACAACAGCAAGGCAGGTTCATTATCTTCCTGGATCAGATTACTTTCATGATTTCTTTCTTTTCTTGCGTTCTTGCACTCAGCTGCATAGTGCCCGAACTCTTGACAGTTATAGCACTGTATTTCACTTTTATCTTGACTTTGACTTCTTTCTTTTTTCTGGTTAGAATCGCCCCTGCCATGACCACCTTGACCCCTACTTGGACCACCCCTGCTCCGGCCTCTTCCTCTTCCTCATGATGACCCACCACGATTGCCTTTTGGAACTGACTTTGAACTGCCTTCTCCTTTCTTCTTGCTTCTCTCAGTCCACTCTTGGTGGGTTTAGAGTAATTTTCTGTCCTTTGTATCACCATGCCCCTTCATTCTCTCTTCATGAGCTTTAAGCCTGCCAATCACTTCTTCTACTGTCATTTCTTCCGGGTCAGCAAACTGTTCAAGGGTTGATGCTATCTAAAGGAACATGGCTGGTACTGCCCTAAGTAGCTTCTTCACCACACAGTATTCATCTACAGTATCTCCCAAGGTACGCATAGTACTCACAATGTTTGTCACTTTCACAGCAAACTCATCTACTCCTTCAGTTTCCTTCATGTTTAGTGATTCAAACTCAGACTTCAATGTTTGAATCCTTGCAGTCTTCACCCTGTCTGCTCCCATAAACATGGTCTTCAAGGCGTCCCAAGCTTCTTTGGCTGTTTTCTTCTCAGCCAATGACAGAAACAAGTCCTCAGGTATTCCTTGATAAATGGCTGCCAAAGCCAATTTATTCTTCTTCACTTCTACCAATGTATTTGCTGTTCTAGGTTCAACAGCTTCCCAAACACCTTGAGCCTGCATAAATACCCTCATTTTGATTGCCCAAGCAGCATTGTTTGACCTTGACAGCATTGGATAATGCAGAGTGACCATTCCATCCTTTTCATCACTTCCATTGTTTCCTGTCATCTCTTCACGAGATTGATATTTGGGCATGCACCAGTTTGCTCTGATACCAAATGTTGGTTTATTGCAGGGGTAATAAAGACTTTTATTACCAAGATAGGAAACAAAACACAGCAAAGGAAACTGCGCAGGGGACAGAAATTGATAAAAGACAAGGAAGGGTAAAACTGGAATAAACAGTTTTAAAGAAAGCTGCACAGTGAACAGAGAAGATACAGTGAAGAAGTAGTAGGCACAGGGGATACATGAGGCAAAGTGTTCTTTATTCACTGAACAAAACAAATAAAGTTGGGAGTAACTAACAACGTACATTTGCTTGTGTATTTAAACTTGTGTATTTAAACTAGAGCTTAGCTAAAAACTAGGAAACAAATTTGACTAGATGCTGTAGACTAGGGACCACTTCACTGGCTACTTTGATTTATTCTAAAGCTAATAAAAACGTGCATAAAACAATAATTCTGAATTATTCTTAACAAGGTATTCACAATTTCCCGTCAATTCCGGAAACAAATTTGGAAAAATAATCTTTAGAGAAGAGAGAATCTCCTATGAAGTTCATTACTAGCTTTTTTTTCTAAATTAGATAATAAACTTCTTAATTGTACTTATAATCGTTCTCCTCAAGATATGCGTCTACTTATTTGTTATATGCAATGTTGCGATCAACACAATCATACATATAATCTTTAATGCGATGTTTCCTCTCATGCATATCATGTTAGTAAAACATTGATTCGAATATCCTGAGCATCCAACAACCCTGGGCGACAATTATACTCCTCTTCCCAAGTGATAATTGTCAAAGATTTTTAGTCTACTTACTTGGTTACTTCCTCACTAACTGTTTACATCAATATAGGGTAGTGAATGCCTATTCTTTAGGTGAGTTGATACATAGATATGTTCAAGGGAAATAGAAGCCATTCCAGGACTACTGCATTCCATGAATGTCCCTGGAAGCTTACAACAACTTCCTCCTAGCACATAACCGAAGAATTAATCAAGCTTTTCTTGTTCAATGTCCGGGTTTGTGTAATTATATTGTTTATAATCATTAACATGTAATAGTGGGTATTGTCAAGGATTTTGGTTTAGTAAGGTTTTGGTGAAGCTTGAAATACTTGGGTTTTTGTTAATGTTTAATTGTACTATTAGAAGTACTTTTGAATTACTTTTCTTAAATGCCTTGTCTGGATACTTCCGTTCTGACCAGATAAGAGTCATGGATGAAGGTTTGATTTTGTTTAAATAATCTTTGGTTCATTGATATAACATGCGGACTAATAAAATTTCTTGTACAACTATTTAGAAATATTAACACATGTACCACATGGAAGCAAAAATTAAGTACAAATAAGAACAATGTAAGGGTAGCAAAGAAAATAGGTAAAAATAAGCCGGTTTCTGGTATAAAGCTGTCAACATAATTTCTCTTTCACTGTATATACATATTAAAACTTACATCAACAAAGTATTATTTTTGGTTGCAATTGTCTTCTGTCTTCGATGAGTAAATAGTTGTTGTTCATTTATTTTCAACTAGTAGCTTTGCCTCTTGAAAAGAGCTGATAGTTTTTTACATTTTGTTCTTCAGAACGCACCTTTTTTTATTGGCCATCATGTAATTTGATTTCCAGCAAACTCTTTTTCTTTAGTTCCTTTTTTGTTACAATTCCTGTTAGCTTAGTCATCTATGTTAGCATTGTTCATTTGGTGTTGTCTTATCGTTTCTTGTTTGCACAAGAATCTGTGTTATATGGAACTTCCTTAACCGCGTTTTATGACATGGAAACTTGAAGTAACTTATGTCAATTCTTGCATCTGATTAAGTTTGGAATCAATCTCTCTATTTGATTTGGCACCTTCATCTTTCGAATCCAATGTTCTCAATTTTTACTGTAGATTAACTATGTATTTCTCTCGCCTTTAATTTATATTAACAAAATTATGAAACATGTTTCTTATGTTGTTATTTAGTTGTTGGTTCCTAATTGTTTATTGTGCAATTTTGCATTGTGTGTGGTCAAAATAAGACGGAAAATGATACATAATCCATAACTGTGTTAAGTTTCCTGAATTTGGAGGGAGCAGATAGTGATGATTTCATACACAGTGAACACCACTAGGCCGCCATGATGGCAGTAGGATGATACTTAACATGAGGATTAATGAATTCATACGACCATTTACAAGACACAAACTGCATAGAAGCAAAAGTCAATTACAATTAACGAAAATGCAAGTGTATCAATGCATGTAGGTTAAATAAGAGGGTATTTAAAGGAGAGATTCGATAGAGAGATCTCACATATTTCTAGTATTAAGCTGGAAACATAGTCTCTTTCAGTATGTATACATGTTCAAAAATTGCATCAAGAAAGTCATGGCCTCGCTGTAGTTACCTGGCCAAATTCTTGTAAATCATTGTTGTTCAATTAGTTTTAAAATGTAGTTGATCATGTGATTTTAACAAAAAATAAACCATTTGTTCTATGGTAGAAGTCAGAAAAGGGATTTTTGGAAGCAGAGAATGCCATCATTCTTGTGAAAAGGACAAAAAAACACTTAGTTTGCAAGGATGGTGATTTTGGACATATTGTAGTAATATGAATGCCGAAAAAGTTATTAGTAATGGGCATTTCTTAAACATATAATCCATGAAAAACAAATTCGGAAAATAAATATAATCTTAATGTGCCTGTAAGGATGAATATGTAGAGCTAAACTGAAATGTCGTTGAACATTCTTACAAGATTAGGATGTGGGATTCAAGTAGATGATTTCTGCTTTTGGTGAGGCTCCAGGGAACTGCATAACATCCTTACCAATGTCAACATCCCAAGCTCCACGTGATGTGATTTTAAACATCTTAAGAGAAGGGGAATGAGCAAGTAGAAGGTTTATAAAAAGAATTTCCAGTCTTGATCCTCCAAAAACTGTCATCTCCACAGTTTCTACTGATTCAATTTACAGTCCAAACAGTTTGGGGCTTCCAAATGATTCAAAGCTGGTCCCTCATCAACTCCTGGGTACTGAAGAAAACATAATAAGCACTCATTAATTTACCCTCCCCCAAAGTTCTATCCACAGAATTTCCACATTTGGCGAGTTCCGAAGCTAACATAGAACACCATGAAGTTGACAGGAGTTGCATATCTTGCAAGTTCAAACACTTTAAACTCTTAACCAGATATGGAAGCCACTTTGGCATATTTTCTTCGATAACATCCTGCCAGATGCAAGTGAGATTTTAGCTTACAAAAAAATGAGTATTATATTAGACAAGGAAATTAGGAGCAAGAGCAAAGGATAAACATTAAAATTTTACTTTAACTTCTATCACCTCAAGAGAATCACCATCGATAGAAAGAAGTTCAATTTTGGGAAAGTTACTTAACATGTTCGCCAGATTTATTCTTTCAACTGGTATCAAACCCTTTATGGATGCCTGGAATTGGAAAGAACTAGATATATCAAGATTAATAGTGCATGGAGTGTGTAATAACTGGAGCAACAGGCCATCTGAACAATTGAAAATTTTCAAACTCTGCAGCTTTGTGGCCTTGATGTTGGAATTGTAAATATCCGTGCAAGTTCTCAGCACAAACTTGTTAAGCTGTGGGAAGTTGATATGAGTTCCACACAAATTAGCCCTAAAAACAATATCTTGGAGATAAAGCTTTTTAATATGGAGAAATCCTTCAAACTCAAGTGGTGGATTGAAGAAAGAGTTCGTCAAATGCAAATTTGTCAACTCTAGACAAGAAAACACTGAAGAAAGTTGATAATGTCGGTCTGAATTAGTAAGGAACACCCTTTCTTGATAAGAGTAGGGTCCATTTATCAGCTTCTTGGAAGCTATCAAGAGATATGTTTGGCATATAGAGATGAAATTTCAAGATAGGACCCTTGTAATTACAGCCTCTTCAAGCGGCGCTCTAAGATTGAGTCTATCAAGTGTTCAAGCAAATTATCTTCTGTTGGATCAGGCCCTTTGAAAACATACACAACACACACTACTCAAAACTCAGGATATGCACTGAAGGCGCTTTTTCTTGGGGGTATTTTAATTAAACCAAAGATGTGCCTTATATGGGCTTTCAAACAAACATCATGTGGAAAAAAAACAACTACAATTAAAATATTATTCTAATCCTAAAGACTAGGTAGACATGAATGACTTCTTCTTATGCATGACTCCACGTACACATCATGAACCAGTCAAATCCAGGTGCTACCATACTGCTAATTATTTCCCAAAACCCGGTCAACATATGACCAAGCTAAGTTATCTACGTGACCCTTGAATAAACAAACCGATTAAACCTAACAATCACCCCATTAATCGGTTTCGTTTTTTTTCATCTCGATTCTTGACCTTTCCCGGACACCCGACCTCGGTCACGTCCAAGGTCTTCACCTGATCCTGACTTTTCCCGGACATCCGACCTTCACCTCGGTCACGTCCAAAGTCTTCCACACCCGACTGTTGTTTGTCACCACACATAATCCGTTTTCACCTAACACTTCTGTGAAATGAGAGCCTTTTTCTACCGATCAAGAAAACAAAGCAATCTGCTTTTCCCGTCTTCTTTCACCTGCAAAACGTAACAAACCCAAAGCCACCTGCTTTGACGGATCTTTTCTTTTCGTTTTCTCATGCAACTTCGGTAACTCTCTTCATTTTCCGATGACATACCCACAACCTACCGCCGGAATCACCACCTTGTCAGACACCGCCAAAAACTAAAGACAGCTGGCAAAGAAACCCACCAACTGAAACACCTTCTCCACCATTAATTGTCTCGAACCTTCTTGTGCGATAAGACTTTCAGTTTTCTGCTCCCCGCAACAAAAAAAATCACTGTCAACCACCCGGCTTCCGTTCTGACAGCAACCCCGCACCCGAAGACTCCTCCCCTTCGAAAGTCGACTCTCAAAACGGCCTTGTTCCTCTTCACGATCCCTAAGCTCTAATACCAATTGTTGGATCAGGCCCTTTGAAAACACACACAACACACACTACTCAAAACTCAGGATATGCACTGAAGGTGCTTTTTCTTGGGGGTATTTTAATTAAAACAAAGATGTGCCTTATATAGGCTTTCAAACATACATCACGTGGAAAAAAACAAATACAATTAAAATATCGTTTTAATCCTAAAGACTAGGTAGACATGAATGACTTCCTATGCATGACTCCAGGTACACATCATGAACCAGTCAAATCCATGTGCTACCTTACTGCTAATTATTTCCCAAAACCCAGTCAACATATGACCAAGCTAAGTTATCTACGTGACCCTTGAATAAACAAACCGATTAAACCTAACATCTTCTTCACAAATCCCTATCGCATATCTCTGTCATTAGTTAAAAAAAATTAGACTAAGTTATTTCAAAGGACAATGGAAAACATAGAACAACTTGATGTTACTGACACTCCTAATTTCCTTTTATTATCGAGGTTTTAGGTGTGGTAACATAAGTTATGAGTAAATAAAATTTTATTGTAGTAGCAAGGCAAAATATAATTTAAATCAACTTAAATATAATGAACATATTGCATGGCTACTTCAGTTTAAAATGGATACGAGATAATTTGCAAAGATACCAGAAAACATTGTTTGAATGATGATCAGAAGAAATCATAAACAATATAATTAAAACAATGTCGCTCATATAAATTGTTATAATAGTAAAAGGGTTTCGAGGTTTCTCATATGATTTTCAAAGAGTAAAAAAGTATGGAGGTTTGCGAAGTACAAACTAACCCGTCATCGTTTTTTTTATCTGTACGACTTAGAATGTCAGGAACGTTGGGTTCGCTGCCCTACGGCGCCTATAGCAAGTATATCGCTATTCCCAAAGGAAATTTCCCATCAATTCCTAAAACACATTTGGAAAAATGGATTTTCTAATATGTGCCCTAAGGGCATCCAAAATGCATTCAACTCAATAGAGTTCAATGGATTGTCACATCATCTTTTTACAACGTATACAACTCTATTATTTTTTTTATTACAATGCATTGAACTATATAAAATTCAATAGAATTTTACAAAATGTAATTAATGATATATGGTCCATTAGCATAGCCTAGACCGCTCTAGCATGCCAGGCAAGTGTGCTCCCGCCAGCCTTGCCTAGCTCATCCTTGCCAGCCTTGATGGGGCTCTCCCGTCGGCCCGGTCTGGCACCCCTTACATGGATCTCCCTTGCTAGCCTTGTTGGGGACTCCCTTGCCAGCCGTGCTGGGGACTCTCCCACTGACCCGGTCTGGCGCTCCCTCGCCAGCCTCACCCGGTGCCTCCGGGCTGCCTCGCCCAACTCCTTGCTAGCTAGGCCTGTATTGGGTTGGCCCAAGGCCTGACCTAATTCCCCTTGACCTAATTGTCCCCTATAAAGTGAACAGTATCACCTCCAAGATGGAGGATCTTTTCCCCGACGGCTCAGTCGCCGCCCTAGACTCCGGTCGGGTGGCTCAGCCGCCACCCTCCGCCGTTAGCCACCAGCAGCAAGATGGTTCTTTCTAGCTAAAGAGAGCCATCTCATATCTACCAGATGATCTAACTTGACCGTCGGAGCCCGCTCCCGGGGCACAGTCCCTGGGGTGGCTCTAATGGCCTTATCTGTTGTGACCTCGCAGATCTGTCTCCGGCATAGAAGCACATTCTCAGAGCAGGTGGTCGGAGCCGATGTCGCATCAGTAATTTATAGCAAATATTCAAGAATTAAAAACTGTTTTTCCATTCCATTGAACTACAAATCAATTGAATGGCAAGGTCATAAGAAGTATTAATTATGAAAAATATTACCATAATTATATTCTAAATACATTTTTATGGAGATTATTAATGCATTTCATATTTAATGATGGTAATACTCCTTATAATTAATGTATTTTATACTTAATTATGATAATATTTGTCACTAATTAATGTTTTTTTTATACGTGGCACATATTAGAAAATCACATATTAGTTATAAATAATATTATTTATAATTAATGTATTTTACATTTAGTTATGGTAATATTACACATAACTAATATTTATCATATTTAATTATGGTAATATTTTTTATAATTAATACTTCAATTAATGTTTCTTATATATGCCCTTAGGACACATATTAAAAAATCCTTTTATAAAAAGGTTTAAGGATTTATTTAAGGGAAAATACCGGCAATAGTAAAAAAAAATGGGGGGTATTTTCAAAATTTAAACATGAAAATGGACATTTCCAGGTATAGACATGGATTCCGCCGAGGTAGCTCCGTGGAGCTTCGCGGAATCTATTGTAGCTCCGCGGAATGGCAAAATCGTAAACAAATCAGGGTATTAAAAAAAAAAACTCAAGATCCATTCTGCGGAGTTACCTCCGAGGAATGAACTCATTCCGCGGAGATAGCTCCTTGAATGGATCTTCAATTTTTTTTTTCATATCGGTTCTTCGGGGTTTATATTAATTCCCCAACTAATTATTTTCAAGAAAAGATTATGATAGTATGTCTATATCGGTTCTTCGGGGTTTAAATACACTGATTTGTTTACGATTTTGTCATTCCGCGGAGCTACCTCCGCCGAATCCATGTCTATATCTGGAAATCTAAATTTTTATGACTATATTTTGAAAATACCCCTCATTTGTTGACTATTCCCGGTATTTTCTCTTTATTTAACCGGTAAAATAGACTTAGTTAAAAAAATTAAAATTAAAAATTAAAAATTAAAAATTAAAAAAAAAACTAATTGACTATTTAAAACAAATAAGAAAAGTTTGTTAGGTTAAAATGACATTTCCCAGAAATAACATTTTTAACTCAAAATAACTATCCAAAATATAATGATTTTTATTTATTTAACCCAATTAAAAAAAACCATAACCATTTGTTACGGTTCTTTTCAACACAAATATAAATTGCTTTCTCAGAAAAACGATATAACTTACTATTTAACATGTTTATTAATGAAATTTCTTGTACAGCTAATTTGTAAGTATTACACCACAATTAAGCAATAACAAGTACAAATATGGATGATGCAATGTAGCAAATAGCGCAATAAGTGGGTATTTAAAGGAGATATTCAACAGAGATGTCGCATTCTTTCTGGGATGAAGATGTAAACGAACTTTCTCCATGTTTCTTTGACTGTGTATAAAAGTTCACAAATTAAATCGACGAAGTCTTGAATTTGTCTGCAAGTATATGTCTACATTTCTGTAGATTTTCCTTCATTGACTTATAGATTTTAGATGATCTTCTGATTTCAATAAAGATAAACCATTTGAAGGTTGAAGTTTAGAGCAGGGCTTCGTGAAAGAAGAGGAATCCATTATTCTTGTTAAAACTTAAAATCTCAAAAAGAACACTCTGATATGCAGAAATTGGATTTTAGATACATTGCAGTCATGAAAGGCATAAAGAAGTGAAGAACCATTTTACTTATCACCCTCACAACAAACAAATCAAGGTGAATAAAAAGATATTAAAGATAACTCAAAAACACTTAAAGCTATATTGAACGTTCTTATAGAGTTACAGCTCTAGATTCAAGTAGACCAGTTCTGCTTTTGGTGAGGCTCGGGGGAACCGCAGAAGATCCTCACCAATTTTAAGTCTTTTTTGAACATCAACTTCATTTAGTCTAAAGGTAAACTTCTTTAGAGAAGGAGAATGAGCAAGTAGAAGCTTTATAAAAATTAGTTCAGGTCTTGATCCTTCTAAAGATACTATCATCACAGTTTGCAATTCATTCAATGTATAGTCCAAGCAGTTTAGAGATTCCAAATGATTTAAAGCGGGTCCCATATCAACTTGAGGCCCCTGCAAAAACATAAAAATGCAACCACATTGTAAAATATAAATATAATTCGTGTACTATATGAGCAAAATAAATATGCTTTAGCACTCTACATTACCATGTACCAAGGCACTATACCCAGATTTCCTAGATTCGGTGAGTTTCGAAGCAAATAAAGAGCACCATGAAGTTGATCCAAATCACCAAGTTCAAAATCCATCAACAACAAATTATGTAGACCATTAACTGTATGTGGAAGCCAATTCAGATTCTTTTCTGCACTCAAAAACTATGAGGAGGAAATCAGATTCTAACTTACCAGAAAAAAAAAAACGAGATTACATATATGGGAAAGGTGGGACCCGTTTATGCAATCTCCATTTGAGGAAAAGTACTTTGTAGCATACCTTAAGGAAATGACCATCAGTAACTAGAGATCTAACTTTGGGCAAGTTACTTAACATTGTAGCCAATGTCAATCTTTCAGCTCGAACGAAATCCTTTATGGGTTTCATAAATGCTATGCTAACATCAGTAAGACTAAGGCATGGAGTGTGCAATAACCGGAGCAACATGGCATCATGACAACCATAGACAAATAACATCTGCAGTTTAGTAACCTTGATGTTGAAACTATAAACATTTGTACAGTTACTAAGGGACAACGTATTAAGCTTTGGTAAGCTGATCTCAGTTTCGCAAAAGTTAGCTCCAAAATCAATATTCAGGAGAAAAAGAGTTTGAAGATTGATAAATCGTTCAAGCTCAAGTGGTTGCTTAAAGAAACAGTTCTTCAAATCAAGTTTTGTCAATTTTAGACAAGAGAACACATTAGAAGGAAGTTCATAACGTCGATTTGAAGTAGTAATTAACACAAGTTCCCTAACACTTTTTCTTGATAAGAGTAGCATCCATTGATCAACTTCTTGGTAACTATCAAGAAACATGTTTGGTATATGGAGATGAAATTTCAAGATAGGACCATTGTGAGAGGTCAAGACTTGGTTTATGGTATTTATAAACCCATTACGATCAAAAGCTCCATTTTGTGCAAATTTTATGGAGAACTGCTCATCAAGAACCAACACCTTAATTTTGGTCCATCTGTACCTCCACTTTTTTGATATAATGCTGGTCCTTACAATATCTTTAATTCGGAGCCTCTCTAAGATTGAGTCTATTAAGTGCTCTGGTAAGTTACTGATTCTATCTTCTTTAACACAAGTCAAAGACCTCCTCTTATATGTCCCTGTTATTGGATTAAAAAACACGAGTAAGTTATTTCGAAAAAATGGAAGGAATAAAAAAACATGGAGCAATAAAGTGCGTTGCTCATATTAGTATTGAGAGAAAAGTCCATTGCTATTATCCGCAAATTTCCATTTTACGTTTTATTTCTTACAAACATGCTTACAAGGATTCCTCTTTGTCACTTTAATTTTGATACGTTTTCATAACATAAAATATTATTAGAAATTAAATAAATTAATTACACATTATAATTGTCTTGTTCTAAAAAACACTATAATAGATTGAGAAAAGAATTGATTTATTTGCGCTATTTATGAGTTAATGATTGTAATCTTTTCGGTATAGTAAGATAAAGAATTGTTTTATTTCCAGTATTTATGAGTTGATCATTATGTTTTAAATATTAGCAAAGCCCTAAAAAGGGTTCACCTCTCTCTATGTTATTCATTGTATTTTCCCTGGTCTACAGTTTATTTGATTTATCCTCAAGTTTATAATTGAATCAATGGTTCCCCTGGCAAAACCTAACTTATAGAAACTCAAAGAAATGAAATTATAACATGACCATATCATATAGATTCTACTGGCAAGACCTAGCTTAATCCCTGCCTTGCAGAGTTAACCAGTATCTAAGTACTACATAATCTTCTCAAAGTGATCGGTTTATTCAACTGGAATGAGATCATAAAGAACAGACTTCAAACACAAAATCTATCAAACAAATTGATATTACTGTGACATGATATCAAGATTTCACATACGACTTTCAATGAATCAGATACATAGAGGTTTGTGAAGTAGAAACTTACGCATCATCACTTGAAGATACCTTCAGAGCGAATGTCAAAAATTTTAGATGAAAACAACTACTCTAGCGATCTTAATTTTTTAAATGTAAACGAGAAGGTTTGTAACAACTAACAAATACTTGCCAACCAATCTAATGATCTATATCCAACGCATATACAGATTTGAAACTTGAATGCGATCTATATCCAATCCATATACAAAGTTGAAATTTGAATGCGTTACCCTTATTTTTAGGGTTGTTATCTTGTATAATACGAGAATATCAATGTATATTTTTATATGGATAAATTCCATTAAAAACACTAGGTTTTCACAAAAATTAAATTTTAATATTGTGATATTCTTTGTCTCAAATCTGACACTCCTTTTACTAATTTGTTATAATTTTTACCGTTTAACCAGTCAACCTGGTTGACATGTGAATTTTGATAATGCGTAATGCTGACAGGGCATGATTACGTGACTCTAATTGGTGACATTATATTTTGAGTATCAAAACTGATAAATATAAAATATAGTAACTTTTATAGTAGTTATTCAAAATATAGTGACTTTTATGAAGTTTCCTTATCAATACTACTTTTGTGATATGTATCCAAAATCGGCCTACCAAGTGACTCATGGTTTGTAAGTTTCTTATACTTGATCATGTAATCATGGTATATTTTGTCTGGTTGTTATATTGTATGTACAATTTACGAATGCATATCTTTGACTCGGTCCCCTTTAATTATGTTCCATCATTATAATATCGCGCTAATCATTTGACTTCCATTCCATTCAGAATTTTAATCGATCCCTTATCTCATCCCTCGTGAAAACCCACTGTCACATATCTACTTTATATGTCCTAACCTATCTTAGTTCATTCACAAGCTTACCCGAGAAACCAATCACCACCACCATCACATCTTTCACCACTCATCACTTACCGCCCTCTCCTTATATAATGAATAACTAATAGACTAATCTGCCCGACAATTGTCCATTATCGCTTCCGATTCTTACATAAGCTTCTATAGAACCATATAGGAACAACTTTGAAGAAGAAAAAAGGAGATTTGGTTAAAACTGCCTCCATCTTTTCATGTTTTCGGTGATTGGGGTGTAGAAAGGAATTAAAAAGCATATGGATGTGCTTGGTTCTTGGAAGACTCTCTCCCTCCCTCGCTAAAAAAACCCTAAACACAAACCACTTACCACCCTGCCACCAACGGAGCACCATCACAGTTTACCCTTTCCATTGTTGGCATCTCTTTCTTTCTATAAAAAGCCCTAAATGCCACCACGACGACCAACTCACTACAACCCGTCACCGTTGTTCCGGCTTGTAGCTCGTTCTTGAGATGGTTTTTCTTGCAGCATATATAGAAATATTTAGTAATTTGAAAATTTTGGTGCTTATAATGGTAAGATATATTTTATATTTTGTTGTTTATAATTATGTGTGCATGTGTATGACAGTTTCAATGCTTAAACATATCAAACAAAATGTTATATCAAAGTGAGCAGGATATATATGGTATACAAAAGTCATTAAAGTTGCAACTAGAAGGCATAGGTAATAGTGGTGGAGCTAGGAATTTTAATACGGGGTATATAATCTTTTTCCAGATTCAAAATTATATGTTCAAAGAGTTTCTTAACATTTATAGTGGTAAATCGATATATATATATATATATATATATATATATATATATATATATATATATATATATATATATATATATATATATATATATAATTTAAGCAAACGTTACAATTGAATCTGTCTAGTCATGTCTTGAAATCGGTCAATATTATTATTATCAAAAACTTGTAAAAACACATTCTTTTAAAAAAAATTGAATAAACAATCGTTTACAACTTGATCATCCGTGCTATTCTGCAATTTATTTTTGACATACGTCATTCCGAAAAGCTCTTTCTACCATTATTGTAGTAACCGTAAATGATATATTTTGTATAGTTATCATATTCCGTGTATTAAAAACATGGTATAATTTTTTAGTTGGAGATACAATAACATAAAACATGTTTACAAATAATGTTTTTAAATATAAAAAACAATTTTTTGGGGATGTTATAGTACTCCACCGTCCCATATAACTCCACCACTGATAGATAATAGGTTTGTTTCAGCATGTGCATGCGAATAGATTCAATACACAGATATGTTTGCAATAAATATGTCTCTCTTCTCAACTTTGTTTTTAATTTGTTGTATTTTTTCTTTTTTTGTGACCAGCAAAGTTCTGTGATTTATTTATATTTGTTTTGTAATCATATTTTACCCTTCTTTAACATAAAAGTTAAAATTGATAAGATTAGGCAACTTTGTTTTTTGGTTGTATTTTTTCTTTTTTCATGACCAACAAAGTTCTGTGGTTTATTTGTATCTCTTTTGTAATCATATTTTACCCTTATTTAACATAAAAGTTAAAACTGATAAGATTATGTAACAGTTAAAAATGGGTGATTATATGCACCTTTTGGAAGTGGTTGGATTAGATTAATTACAAATAATAGTAAGTTGTGATGGTTTTGTGTAAAATAATTTCTTGGATAAATCTGAAAAAAATTATATTACTACATTAATAATATTATTTAAAAAAAATTAAAAAAGATCCCGAAGTTTGCTTGTATTAAAGAATAAATATTTGGATGGTCTTAAAATGTTGTTTAGATAAATTTGTTGAACTTTATAAATTGACCCTTATGTGTCTGTCGACTAGAATATAAAATAAAATAAAATAAAAATAAATGGGGCTCGGGTTGGGTTTGTTTGTTAGGTCGATTTTTGTCAGCTCTATAGTTTTGGTTGTGAATAAGATAGTCTTAACCTTATCATATTTTGAAAATAAATCATTATATCGTTATTTATATAAACTTTAACGGTTAAGTCTTCAAGCAAGTAAGTTAACTCGACATTTGCATTAAGAGTTAAGACCAATAAGTTCAATTAAAACTATTGTTAAGCATCAAATATACCATTGTGATTAGATTGATCACGCAAAGCATGTGAACTTTATGTGTCATTGTCTAGAAGCATATTACCTGGACAAGTTTACATCTTACGCCCTCATGGAAGTATCAGTTAAAAGATACGCCTTTGGTTTCAATGACGTGAGTATAAAATGACGTTTACACGCAAAATCATATGTTTTCGATAGAAAACTATTTTTTTTGAAAAGAACCATTCGTCATCGTCTCTTTTCATGGGTACACATTTATAAAAGATAAGTAACTGTTGATAAAAAAACTATTCCCTAGAAAATAACTAACCCCCTCCTCCTCCGCCCCGATACCCGGTCACTGGAACAAGTTAATATGTTAAAGTAATCTTGAGTTAACATTCTAAGTGATTAATTACAATTTGTAAGGAAGCGACACAAATGGATTTATCAACTTTTGAGGATTGTAAGAACTAAAGAATTATCAATATTTTATAACTTGGTTAATACTTAATAAGTTTTATATGATAGCTGCAAGGAAACTATTCCTAAAATGATTTGTTTGTGATTTCTTCTTTATACCAAATTTAGAATGCGTGTATTTGATACATATTTAACATTGAAATTTTCCCAAATTTAGAAAGTTTGTATTTTTGTTACAAAACCCACCGTTTTCCCCGCCTGTGTTTTATCATTTTTACCTTTAAGTCATCATCTTTAAAAAGCAATGGATAACATCTTAAATATTTTTCACAAGCATCATAGATAATCTTTACCATGAAGGTGATAAAACTGTCATGTTGAATCGTTGACAATTTAACAACAAAGTCTATAATACCGACAAGCATGTGTAGGGCTCTTTCATGCATTCAAGAACTAGACTCTGAAGCAAAAGTGAGATTTTTATTTACAGTTAAAAGCAAGAGATATCAAGCAACTTTCATTGTTTTGTTTATTAATTATAGCAATTTGTCTTCAAGTTTTTCTTATTATAACACTGCACTTCAAAAATAATCACACAATTATAACATTGTACTTAAAATTTTGAAAAAAAAAATCACAGTTTTTTTATAGAGATTGCAGTTGATCCTATGATTTTGAGACAACAATAAACCATTTGAAGTAATGTAAACTAAAAAAAAATCCATCATACTTGACACTTCTATCGAAAATCACCCATGTCAAACAAATCAAGGGGAATAAAAAGAATAACAACCAATTCCACTATGTTTACAACAATGAAAAGCATAAAGCTAAACAACAATTTCAAGTTGAACATATTCTTATAAAACTATTTCTCGGGATTCAAGTAGATGATTTCTGCTTTTGGTGAGGCTCGAGGGAGCCTCATAACATGTTTAGCAATCGCAAATCTTCTTCGAATATTCAGACGTCCAATTGGTGTAATGGAGATCTTCTCAAGATTAGGTGAATGAGCAAGTAGAAGCTTTATAAAAAGCAGTTCCACTTCTAATCCTTCTAAACATGTTATCTCCACAGTCCTTAACTGTTTCAGTGTATAGTCCAAGCAGTTTGCAGCTTTCAAATGATCTAAAGCTAGGCCCACAAAATCTCGAGGCTCCTGAAAAAACATAAAAATTCAACTCTTGTGACATATAAAATAAAATCTAATTTTAGCAATTTTTAGTTAACAACCTCAAAGTGCACACGTAACGTGTCTAGATTTGGTGAGTTTCGAAGCAAACAAAGAGCAACATGAAGTTGATCCAAATCACCAACTTCAAAATCTTGCAACACTAAACGTTTTAAGCTGTTCATCGATAATGGAAGCCACTTTGGAATCTCTTCTGCAGACAAAAACTATGAGGTGAAAGTGAGATTTTAAGTTGCATAAAAACGTGAGAAATACATCTAACGAGGGTTTTAAGACAGTGTGTTGCAGTGAGAGGGACCATTTTTGTAATTTTGTTAAACATAGATAATTTCTTTAATTTTGTCTTTACACACACGGACCATTTCTGTAATTTTTTCATATATATAGGCACTATTTAAATAAATTTGTTACACAGGGACACTTTCTGTAACTTTATCTTTATACAGGGACCATTTCTGTAATTTTGTCTTAGACAGGGATCGTTTCTATAATTTTGTCATGTAGGGACCATTTCTGTAGCTTTATCTTACACAGGGATCATTTCTGTAATCTTGTCTATTTCCTACTGAGGGAACATTTCTGAATTTTGTCATAGATAGGGATCGTTTCTGTATGTTTGTCAGAGAGGGACCATTTTTGTAGCTTTATCTTACACAGGGATCATTTCTATAATTTTGTCTATTTCCTACCGACTACAGAGAGACCATTTCTGTAAATTTGTCTTAGATGGGGATCGTTTCTGTAATTTTGTCACAGAGGGACCATTTCTGTAGCTTTATTTTACACAAGAATCATTTCTGTAATTTCTTCTATTCCTACAGAGGGACCATTTCTGTAATTGTCTTTGACACGGATCATTTCGTTAATTTAGTCACAGAGGGACCATTTCTGTAGCTTTATCTTACGCAGGGTTCATTTCTGTAATTTTTTCTATTTCCTACAGAGGGACCATTTCTGTAATTTTTCATAGACGGGATCGTTTCTGTAATTTTCTTACAGAAGGACCATTTCTGTAAAAAAATCTCACACAGGGACCATTTCTGTCATTTTGTATATAAAACACAAGACCAGTTTTGTAAAAAAAGTTACAGCGACCATTTCTGTCAGTTTATCTATTTGAATACTACAGGGACCAAAAATGCAATTCACTAAAAAAACACTATAGTTTGAAATTTGAATTAACCTTATCAATACTCAATCACGTATAACATTTTGATAAATGTTATATATAGGTAATTATGGAAGCGTAAATGGAAAGCATTAGTGTGCGTTTGGTTGTGAAAAATTGTTTTCATTTCCTAAGAAAAATGTTTTTAGAAAATAGAGTTGAATTTTCATTTTCAGTTTTTAATGAAAACGCGTTTTGTTGAAACGGTGGAGTTTTTCATTTTCCATCTTACAAATTTGGAAAACTTTGGAAAACTATAAAATTCACTTTTCTAACTTAAATACAATTTGGAAAACTGTAAATTTTCATTTTCTTAGAAAACTTTGGAAAACTAAACGAACCAAACGCGTTTTCAAAATTTCCGTTTTTCTTTTCTTGGAAAATTTTCCTAGAAAACTAGAAAATTTTCCATAACCAAACGCACCATAAAGTTTACTTTCGTATCATACCTTAAGAAAATTACCCTCGATTAAAAAGTCTTCAATTCTTGTTAAGCTACTTAAAAAGGTGATGGAATTTATCTTCTCAACTCTATCAAAATCTTCAAAAGTCTGAAAAGATACACCAAACACAATAAGAGAAGGATTTTCCAACAATTGTAGCAACTTAGCATCAGGACACGTGACAATAATCAAACTCTTCATCTTTGTAGCCTTGATGTTGAAATTCTGAACATTCATACACTCAAGAAAAGACAAATTCTTAAGTTGTGGTAAGTTGATCTGATTTCCACTTAAATTCTCCCCAAAATCAATATGCTCAAGAAAAAGTTCTTCAAGATTAAGAAACCCTTCAAACTGAAGTGGTGGATTGAAGTAACAATTCTCCAATATCAACTCTGTTAATCCTAAACATGAAAACACATGAGAAGGAAGCTCATATCGTCGATTTGAATTAGTAAGAACGAGTTTTGTCACATTGTTTCTTGATAAGAGCATCATCCATTCATCAATTTCTTGGAAGCTATCAAGAAACATAGGTGGTATATAGATAACAAATTTTGAGATTGGACCCTTGTGAAGGTTTAACACTTGGTTTATGGTGCTTATATATTCATTGTAATCAACTGCTCCATTTTTTGCAATTTTTTCATTGAAGTCGTCATCAAAAGTCAACACCTTCATTGAAGTCCATTTGTACCTCCATTTTTTTGATATGATGCTTGTTTTTATAGCATCTTCAAATGGGATCCGCTCTAAGATCGAGTCTATTAAGTGCTCTGACAAGTTACTGATTCTATCTTCTCCATTAAAAGTTACAGATCTCCTTTTACGTTTCCCTGTCATAAAAATGGGATATAAATCTAATGAAATTACATGACTAAATAATATACAGGAAAAACCAAGCTTAAACCCTTTAATACTTGCTGACTTGCATAATTAGCAACTATCCGATTATGTTTCGAATCGTATGTAATAGATCTTCTCAAATCGGTTTCTTGATTTATGTTTTCCAATGGATACGTGATAATTGACAATGAATTTTACAAAAACAGAGTTTGCGGATTCAACTGGATTGAGGAAAAGAAAGCATAAAGAGCATAATTCAACCAAAATCTCACAAATAAATCGACACAACAGTAAAAGGATATCGACATTTGTTGTACGAGAACCGAACACTTAGGTTTATGAAGTAGAAACTTACCCATCGAGAATCGAGATACGCTTGGAGCGACCGAATTAGAATGTCAAACAATTGGGAATTTACAATTTAGGGTATGTTGCCCACCAACCTGCCAATGAATTAAATATGGACGTAATTACAAATTTGGTATGTATGTTTTAACAATTGTTTGTTTAGGTCTAGTGAAATTTTATGTATAAATTTTGTCCTATTGCAAGATTTTAAATCGATTTTGGTCGATAAGTTATTAAATCTACATGCTTAGCTACTTTTAAGAAAATAATAAATTGGCCAACAAACTACTTTGTTTGATCTTATTTGGTTATCCATGTTTTTATTGGCATTTGCATGATCAAAATTTTGAATCGACGTCAACAACGTTATTTTGGAAATTATGAAAGCGTCTCCGAGTAATGTGAGGTGGCGGTTCATGTGATGCTAGCATCAATAGTGAACGTGACGTCTACATGATATTTCAGGTTTAATTATATATACTTCCAAAAAACTTAGAGCTTTATTATTATTTTTATTATATATACATATAAATCGTGGAATGCCAAATTTGTAAACTTTAGGACTTTAGACTTTGCTCATGACAGTTTGTGGTATTGACAACTTTGGTCTCTACTTTGAATTAATGCGTCTGAAAAACTGAAATTTCGTATTAAGCAGTTTTGAACAAAACAAACATTAAAATATTATAGTACATGTTACCTTGTTTCCGAATATATAAAGAACATCCAAAATAAAGTTCGTATGCAAAAGATACAACAGTTTTAATAAAATAGACAGTAAACATTGTTTTTCTTTAATCGTGTAAAATCGAATCAATCTGTTGAGGCACTTACACACCTCCAATGGAAATTTCGAAAGCGTTTTTGGACTTAGGATATAGCCTAACATTTAATTTCATATTCAAAATATTTTTAACAAAAATATTTGCTAAAATCGAAAAATCGAGCGTTATGGGCTTTTTAGACGCAAAACTTTAAACGCGATTTCTCGGATGTAACGTCCTATTTCGGATTGTTCTGTGATTCATGATTGTGAACCATAATTCAGTTGTATGTAGGCTTTGGGGATTTTAAGGAAGTAAGGTTTGGGTTTTATTGAAAGATGTTATTGTTGGTAAGAGGATCAAGGCCAATGAATTGTGTATTTGGAACTGGGAATGGACTGGGGAAAGTTATGTGTTAGGGCACATGCAAGGGTTAAGGTCTTAAGTTGAACATGTGGTGAGCTAAATGTATCGATATAGGAGTGTAGAGCTCTCCAAGACCCTTTCATGGATATAAAGAACGTCGAATTCGGAGTTGAAACAAAGAAGTTATGATTGTTCAAAGTTGAGAAGGATTTGGGGGACAACTGAGATCACGACGAGAGGATCGCTGCAGCCCAAGCCCATGAACTTTTAGGGTTTTCTAGGTATTTAAGTCCACTTAATTCGGTTTTAGGGTTCATTTCTTAGCCTCCACCTTCCTCTAACACTGGAAACCTTAACCCTAATCCATTTTGGTGATTTGGTGGCTAGAAGAAGGAGAATAACAGGTTCTAGAGTGTTGGTTCGGAAAAGAGGCTTCATCATAATCATCTTGTGCACATTTTGGACCACTGTAAGTTTCCAAGATTCAATCTTTATGAGTTCAAATTGTTAGATCTAAGTTTTAAGCTTCTTTTTGCATGTTTGTGTTGGATTGCATGCTTAGGATCCATAAAGTTGGCAACCTTATGGATCAATGAGTCATTCTCTATGATTCAACCTTATAGATCCGAAGTGTAGTTGTAATCTATGAATCTTGCTTGAGTTTGGGACCATTTCTTGTTATTTTGACCTAAGATGGGTTTAGGACATGCATGTCCATCAAGTAATGATTTTTATTGGCCTTTGGGGTCCTTTTTTAGCTTATGAAAGAATTAGGGTTGAAGGACTTAAAAGTTGGATTTTTAGCCTTAGATCGTTCTCACAACGTGAGACACAAGGTCTCATGACGTGAGAGGTGTTTATGTCCTGATTCCGGAGAACTGGTTGGGGATCACAACGTGAGGATAGGCTTCTCACGTCGTGAGGCCAACTTGGGTAGCATTTCTTAACTGAGTTAGCTGGGTTGAATCGGGATGAGTGGGATTTGATCAAGTAAACTTTCACGACGTGACCAAGGACTAGTCACGACGTGAGATGTGGTTTTGGGCTATGATGGGTTTGGGCCTAATTAGGAAGTTGGTCCATATTGGGCTCTTGATGCTAATAGTTTGGGCCTCAGATGTCAGACCTAGTGAGAAAAGGTTAAAATAGACATTTACCCTGAGTGTTGGACATTCGGACTTGGATTACAGCTATGGTTTGTGGACCAATCATTAATTTGGTAATATTTCATGATGTTAGGGCGAGGATTTCAGCAGTCCGAGCTTGTACCTGAGACATTCGGCAGCTTGAGGTGAGTTACCTTCACTATATTCGTGGGTCGAAAGCACCAATGCTGACCCACTAGTTGATGCTTATAGTAAGATGATTGTCTTTATCGTAATTGTCTAGTATGCTAGTATTTGTTTATGTTTCTATGGTTATTTGATTTTGATATTATGTGGTAGTGGTAGGGGTGAAATAGACCCGATATTCGATTGAAATAGACCAAAGCGGATTGCAAACAACCAGATATGTTTGATAGTATCCGGTTGAAATAGACCGAAGGGGAATACAAGCACCCATATATGTTAATTGACACTATCCGGTTGAAATGGACTAAAGGTAAATGCAAGCACTCAGATATGCTTGACAGTATCCGGTTGAAATAGACCGAAGGGGAATGCAAGCACCCAGATATGCTTGATAGTATCCGGTTGAAATAAACCGAAGGGGAATGCAAGCACCCAGATATGCTTGATAGTATCCGGTTGAAATAGACCGAAAGGGAATGCTAGCACCTATATATGCTTAACTGTATGTTTGCATGGTATGTGGTATGTTAGGGGAACTCATTAAGCTTTGTGCTTACGGTTTTCAGTTTATGCTTAAGGTACTTCTGTTTCGAAAGGGAAGAGCTCGAGATGACTGCATTGCACACACCATATTGTTCCACATATTACATTAGTCTGATGTACTTGGATGTTTATTGATACACTCTAATTCACAATGGTTTTCATGATATTATTTTGGATAATGGTTTTAATTAATTTAAAAATCGAAATTTGTAGTCTTAATTTTTGGAACGTTACACCGGAGTTCCATAACTCCAAAAATCAATTTGTTCGAGTTTTTGGAATCCTTGAATTAAACTCTATTTAACAATACTTTCAGAAAAATTTCTCGACATACGGATCCCGATACACCAAAATAACTTGGTTTTTGGGCATTAAAGGAAGGCATGACATCATGTAGGACCCACAAGCCTTATCCAAGAGTGTAAGGCCAACTCTTAGTCTTTCTTGCTTCCTTCCTTGGATCAAACCTATGTGACATAGGCCTTTCCTCTTCCTCCCTCTCTAACTTGAGTGCACACTTGCATATAAGAGTACAAAACAGTTGTTTTAGCCATGGTGCTCCTCTAAGCTCACGTAAGACCCTTACACTATAAATAGAGACTCATGCAACTTGCTCTCAATATCAATATGTCACCCACAACATTAGCCATCTTCTTCATCTTCTCCCCTATCTCAATATCAATATGTCCCTCTCTTTTAGACTCTCACTTGCTCTCTCGGTTTCAAACACACACAAATCACCACAAACTACCACTCCGCCACCCAAAATACACCCAACACCACCCTTATAACTCCCCTTGAACGTCACCATCAGGTCAACCCTTCTCCTTTGTCAATTCCAACTCAAAACAGAAAAAGAGAAGCAAAGGAGAAATTCTCAAAAATCACCACCTGCCACCACCTTTGGAGCCTTCCTGCCGCCGTCTGCCACCACCATTCACCGCCATGTTTAGCTATAGATATACCCCTCCACCTCCTTTACAATTTTGGTTTTTGTTTCATGCCATTTCATCAAGTGTTGAAGTCACAAGGACCAAATGAATGTGGGTGTATACATGTTGACGTGAACGAGAGGAATCAGGAGGTTTTAAACCTCCTAATCAAATGTGATTCTAATTTGGTTAAACAACCAAACCTTCATTCCAAATTAATTCCCTTGACCCTCATTTTGAAATTCTTTTCAATATTAGTCCTAAACCTTTTAAACACCATTTAAAGTGTGCAAAAACCACCCTCATTTAGAATTACTTTTACATCAAGACCCAAGACTCAAAAACTACTATTTTATTTAAATACATTTAACCCCCTTTTCAAAAATGTTTATAAAACAAGTCATAAGACTAAAGTTTTATTCGAAATGTTCAAAACAACCCCTTAATTGGAAATAATTATCAAATGTGGTTCCATTCCAATCATTTAAATTAGAATTTATTAAATAAAATTTATGATTAAATAAAATTTTGGAAGATATAAAATTTAATTTTTAGATAAAATTTATTTAAATAATTCTTGGTTCAAAATAAATTTTAGACTAACTAAACTTTGGAAATTATTAAATAAGTCATTTACTTAATTAAAATATCAAATACCCTCCACATATTAATTTATATTAATATTTCCTTAGGAAACCAAATTTATCTCGGAGTATCGTGTTTACATCAATACATCCCGGTTTTCTTGCGTCAACTCTCGAAAAAAAAAACGACAATCATACATTATGGTGAGTTTCACGGAACCTCTTTTCTATTTACTTATTTTGGGGGAGAGTACTGTTGGATAAGGTGTATAAGTCCATAACTATTTCTGGTATGTACTTGACCTGACCCGGCATGGTCCATTTGGGTTGCATGGCACCATGCAATTGGATAAACTAAAATGAGAGAAATAACACTTATGGTTTATTAATATATTATAAGTTCTAATATATTAATAATATTATTTAATTAGTTTGATCAAGAATTAATTTAGAATTAATTAAGTGATCAAAAGATAACTAATTAAATACATGGGTAGATTATGTAAATCTTCCATATCTTATATAGTGGG